CACCTTGAGGGCCCCTCGGGCTTCATCACAGGTGGAGTTAGGGGCAACTTTTAGTTCCTGCCCTGACTCTGGACAGGGCCGGAGGAGGGGACCGGAGGGGCAGCATACACAGACCTTCCCTTCCTGAGGGGGAGTTGGGAGGGGGAGACAGACTGAGTCAGGTGTCCCTCACATCTCCCCCCTCCAGTTCTCTCCGGCCCGCCCTCCTCAGACCTCACCGTGGAGCAGTGGTGGAAGTCTCTGGCCAGCTGAGCGTTCTTGCAGGAGAGAACAGAGCCCGCCATGCTGAGCATGACACACAGCACCGACAGCAAGGAGAAGAAGGAGATCTGGGGAAACAGGGTGCGGATTCAGGGCTGGGATGCTCAGGAGCGGGGGCTACCAAGGAGGGAGCCACCCTCCTTCACACTCATTTGTGCCTGGGTGGCAGGAACCGGAGAGCCAGTTCCCTTCTTGAGGGCATAAACGGGCATCCCCTCAGGTGCTGGGCACCTGCCTCCCAGCGGACACCAGACCCTGGCACCTACCACTAAAGTGAATGGCCGCTTCCAGGACACAATGCCAACTACCCCGGAGAACGCCAGCTGGGGACAGAGTGGGCACAGGCTCAGCCTGGCAGGGGAGGCACCTGAGTGAGCCCCTCACCACAGGGTGCACCCAGCCCTTTTAGGAGGGAGAGGGTCAGGAGAGGGAGGAGAGGCCAGGATCTGAACTGGCAGCTGGTGTGGAGGGGTGGGGCCCAAGGAGCCGCCCCCACCCAACAACTGTGCACCCAACTCACCGAGAATCCAGCCCAAGACGGGCAGGACCTCTTGATGCTCTCAGTGGTGGTGACAGAGGAGGCCACCATGCTGAAGGTGACCACCAGGATGCCCAGAAGCACCTGGGCCAGCCCCAGCGTGAGCAGGGCCTGCAGCCAGGGTCGGTGGAGGCGGAGGTGGGTAAGGCCCCGGGTACTAGGCCGACTGGTAAGCGAGCGGCTGGAGTCACTAGGCGAGGGCATCATGCCTGCCGCCCGGTTGCCTGCGCCTCGCTCGGCCCCCCCTGGCACTTGGGAGCATCTCAGAGGAGCCCAGGGCCCCGTCCTTCCTCCTCTCCACCCCACTCGCTCTAGAGCCCACCCCCTGGCTGGGTCCCCTGGGGCATGGCTCAGGGACTCCAGCTGGAGGGGCGGTCGAGGCAGGGAAGTCACAGAGGGGCCGCGGAGTGCTCCCTCCCCACCACGGGCACTGGATGGGCACCGTGCCCAGGATGGCGATGAGGGCGCTGGGACACAGGCTCATCGCATCTCCCTAGGGAAGAGGGGCGCCGAGAAGGGCAGGTCCGGGAGTGAGGAGAGGGAGCGGGGGGAGGACGGAGGTCGGGAGCCCAGGAAAGGATGGGGAAGGTGAAGTCCAGAGGATGGGAAGACGTCTAGGGAAGAGGGCAGGGGTCGGCGTGGGTGACTCTAGGGGGCGGTGGACGTGCCTCCGGTGTCCAGTGGGATCCAAGGCTGGTGGGTGGGAAAGGCCAAGGCACCGCTGTCTCCAGAGTCGCCAGCCCTGCTCCCCTCCCCTCCACGCTCCGCTCCCCCACCTCCGGCTGCAGCGGGTTTGGAGGCAGGGGGTGGGGATGGGATGGTGCGAGAGGAGGAGCGTGGCTGCGCGGTGCACCCCGGGAGTTGTAGTCAGGACAGGCGACCCTGCGGCGGTGGGGGGGTGGGGGCAGGAGCTGGCCGCAGAGCAGGCAGGCAGGCAGGTCTGCGGGTGGTAAGGTAAGTGCTCTCCAGTCCCTGCCTCTACTGGGACCCGGGCCCGAGCCAAC